AGTTTCACGAGATAACTCGACAGATTACCTCCCCAAACTCCTCTCCTTACCCTCCAAGTCTTTCTTTGAGATTGTATTTTTGACAGTTGTGAGAAGGATGTTGAAGTAGTAAGAAATCTGCTGATATCCGATTTGAGAGTCATATAATCCAAAGATTCTCCCCCTGGTAAACTCAGAGAGGTGATAAGTTGGAATAGGCTTTTTTAGATAACTGCGAAGAATAGGAGGCATAGTATTTAAAGAAAAAAGAATCAGATAATGTGATTGGGTTTTGGTTGAGTTGATGCAATATTTTTCAGTGGGGTTGAAAATGAAGATGGAGGGTAATAGATGATGGTTGCCATGTATCTTACACGATTGACTATTTTTATTGATGGACTATACTTCCTTTCTCTAAAGTGCTAGTTAGGACAGCTTTTACCCTGTTACTTTATTGACCCTCTGTTGCCTGGTGGTAGTGGCTACCTTTTAGTAGTGGCCATTGAAATGGCCTTCAACTTCAGCTGTTAGGTCCCTCCTGGCTACTTAGTATTAGGAATCAGGGGCTAGAGCAGGGTGGCTAGACAATGGTCACCTACTATGGCTGGTTAGGTACAATCTTGAGGCCTCCAAGTGGCTTATTGCCTGTGGAGCTGAGGGAGTTGGGCGGGCATTGTGATATCAGCTCTGGTAGCTTAGTTGGGACTGAGTTGATAGAGTAAGGCTCTTGCAAGGATCGGTCGAGGGTGTGTCAGGTTGGGTAACCTCTAATTAAGTATTTCTGACTGCTAGTAACTGCTGAGTAATATTAAGGAGCTGAGCTAATAGCTACTTATTTGGATAATAGGATATAACTGTTGGCTTAAACTTGACTGGTCTTGTAGGTTGAGTGTTGTGGTATTTGTTTCGTATCTTCGACTGGGCTATTAGTACAATGAGAGGAGAAAGGTACCATGGGTAGGAGATAGGCCCTACTGTTCTTCATAGTCTGCTGCCACTCCTACTAGGTTTCATATATCAGGAGTTAATAGATAGTTATTATACTA